TTTTTTTTTTTTTAATTTTTTTTCTGATGTGTGCTGTGGTGCTCGTGTCGGAAGTCTACAGTACTCGTAAAAAAGGGACACATACACATGGAAATCAGCCCCAGATCCACATGGGTGGGGGACGCTATACATCCATTGTAGTCTATGGTAGGTACACTCTAAGCCTTGCGTGGCACAGACAGATAGAGAGAGATGTTTTGGCCCTAGAATTGCACGGGTGCTGCGGTTGGGGGCCAACACCAAGGATGCCACTTCAAACATGAGCAAGCAGGTACTGTATGTACATCACTTATCAGGGGTTGTTTGCTGTGCTTAAGTCTCTACAAAATAACGTTGCTCAATTGCTTTCCTCATGGTTAGTAGCGTACAAAAAGAGTTTCGATCATAAAGCATCACGAGGAGAAAGAAGATCATCACCGAAAACTTCACATCTAAAATGAGGTAGGGCGTCTTGGCTGGCTGTGTAGTCAAGCCCGTGGAGATCGCTCACTTCAGCCCCCCCCCCCTCCCTCCCTCCCCGGGTTCAGCCCCGTTTGAGCCTGGGTTTGAGACAACGGCTAGAGCTTCCTAGATGCATTGCATTGGATCGGACTCAGGTGCGAGGTACAGTATTTATTTCCAGTGTTCATTTCCCCCTTGTCAGAAGGATAGACTACCCCTTTTGCTGACTGCTGACTGCGGATTGCATCGAGATCCTGGTCTAGTCTATGCCCTAGGGTGTCTGCTTGCCAACCCAAGCTTTTTTTTTCTCTTCCGCTAGGACAAACCCGCTCTCGAAAGCTCAGCCATAGCTACTGTTATGACAGGGATCTCAGGCTCAGTGTTGTGTTGTTGTGAGGTCTTTGTGTTTCAGCTCGTCTGTTCTCCTTTGAGCTCTAAGTAATCCCTGTTGGCGTTGAGGTGCTTCTTATCTACGATGGTAGGAAGGCGGGCTGTAGGGGGTAGTCAAGAATCGCCAAGGATATATTAACTCAAGACTTCGGATCCCGTTCGCTAACAGGAACATAGCTGATTGGTGGTAGACCGTGCGAGGCTCTTTTACGTCCGGGCAATGGCCTGCTGGATGTTCAAAGATCGTTATCCCTCCAACATGCATGTGTTCCCAGCCGTGACGAGAAAAGCACCTACAAGCATCAAGAACGACGGTACTTTCAGTATCCAGTGGCTGGTTGCATAGCCACCATCCTAAACGAGCCTGCATGGTGCAACGGCTCAGAACCTGACTCCCCACGCCCAGCCACGACAAACCCCTCGAGCAACGACGAATGCCCCTGCAGCCGCAAGGAACAACACCCCGGCGAAGATAATGACGCCTCCATAGCTGTGCTGCTCGATCACCCCCGCTAACCCGATCCCCAAGAGCATCCCGATGCTGGCAATGCTGTACGCGATGCCACTTCGGCTCCCATACTCCGTGGCGCTGCATGTCTGGGAGATGCAGACGGGCGACAGGCTCAGCGCGGCACCGGACCAGAATCCGAAGCAGACGGCATAGCACACGAGTGCTCCCAGGCTGTCTCCTGCTTTGTACCAGAGGGCGAGGGTTAGAATTGCACAGATGAGAGTCGAGATGATCATCGTGTTGAAGCGGCCGAGGCGGTCGGCGGCGAGAGGCGGCAGGAGTCGGCCTGGAATGGTCCCGATATTCAGGAAAACGAGCAACAGGTATGCGATGATGTTGCTCAGTCCCGCATGCACGGTGTACGAGGGGATATAGGTGCCCGGGATGAAGACGGCGCACTCGGTCAGAAAGATAGCAGCGGTCGTGGCGGCGAATCGAGGGTCTTTCAGTGGCTTGAGGGTCAGTTCTCTACAGCTGTCTGTCCTGGCGGGTAGCTGCGTCGTGACCAGGCAACAAGCAATGGAAAGCAAGGTAGCACTGATGAGAGCGATAATGCGAATTGACCACCCGAATCCGATCTTCGGCGCGGTGAAGTAGATGATGAGGGGGAAGATCACGCCTCCGAGTCCGCCGCCGGTGCAGGCTACACCGGTTGCAAAGGCCCGGCGACGTTCGAACCAGTGGCTTATGGTTGCCATGGCTGGGGTGGTGAGCGCACTGGCTGATAGTCCACCTAGAAAGCTGAGGGAGAGGAAGATCGAATAGTACTCTGGGTATTGTTAGCTGCTGCTGCTTGCTGACCCGTTCTGTCAACAGCATTACCGTCACTGAAACTGAAGCAGATCAACGACAGTACCATGCCAACTGACCCCGAAAGGACTAAGTAAGTCGGCCCCCAAGCATCAAAGATCCACCCTAGCTCAGCCGGTCAGTTCTCCCGTCTCCGTAGGAAAAGTGCAGATATCTGTACACACCCATCGGCGCTCCCGCAAAATAGACGAAGAACCCATATGCGCTGTAAATCCAGCCATAGCTCGCCGGCTCGTAATGCTGCAGTTGATGCGTGCTGGTCCATAAGTAAATCGCTCCAGCGGTGTGCAGTATCCCCCAGGTCGGAACCAAGGCGCACCACGCTCCGAATACGACCAGCCATGCTCTGAAGCCTCCTTCCGGATATCCTGCGCCTGGTTGTCGCCCTATACCAACAGACGAGGCGGACGAGTACTCAATGTGCTCGACGTTCATCACTCAGTGTAAGAGCCCTCAGGATCGTGCTCAATGCAAAAATACAGCCATCGAGAGGCTAGCATCGAAACCGGCGTCTACGGTTCTTATATGCCTGTCTGTCAGCCACGAGGCGGTGATTCTATGCGTTGGCGATATAGAGTTGACGCAGCGGGATGCAAGGGCTATATGCATCTCTGATGCACAATGACGACTGGTACAGAGGTTTTCCAGAGTACGTGATGTGTTTGCTGTGCTTGTTTATGCTGTAGCATGATTTACTGGACATGGGTGTCAATTCGCCTTGCGCGGAACCGGATTGAGGCACTACTTGGTGGGTCCAATTCATGGCGGTTAGCCGAGTCAACATGCAGGTAATAAGTATGTATCTACTTAGTTTCTCACCACCAGGCAGCTTGTGTGATAGAGTAGCTGCGGCATCATCATCATCATGTGCGAATCCTTGGTATCTGATATCAGATCTGGCGAAGTGTGGTCATGTCTCGATGCGGCCAGTTGTGATGATTGTGGTGGTTAATATGATAGACTGCGCTGCTTCACGCATTCAGCACCCCATCAAAGTACAGCCCAAGTTTAGTCTCTTCAAATGCAGAGAAAGTTGACTGTCAATTGGGGAATAAAAGCAATACTGCCCTCTATAGACGACGGCTGTTTTAGGACTAGCTTGGCTGCAATCCAGACCCGTTACATAAGCGCTCATGGCGAGCGGGCGAGCTTTGCTGATAAGATTTCTGCAGCGGAGAAATTGCGGCCAGTCCCAGCCCACTCTAATCTCTCACATCACGACTCGATCATCATGGGTAAACGCGGAAAGAAGGTATGTGTGGCCTTCTGAACCCTTTCCAACCCCTAGAGCACCGCTGCTCTCGGTTGATTCGGCTCTTGTCGTCCCGACTTCATGCTGATCCTCGGTCGCAGGGTGGTGGCAGAGGCGGCGAGCGCAAGAACTGGCAGCAGATTTCCAGGGAGAACGAGAAGTTCGAGAACTACTACAACTCCCAGGCTTTCATCCCGGAGGAGGAGAAGGAGGCTTTCTGGGCTGCTCTCAAGAGGGACCTCCCCAACAGTTTCCGCTTCACTGGCTCTCGAGGGTACGTTATGCGCAAAAACACTAAAAGAGCCTATCGTTCCGTAACAACCCCGCAGATAAAAGCTGCGCGACAGGCTATACTTGGCCCATTGCTGACGTTCATGATCGCACAGCCATGCTCTTGCCGTGCAGAAGAAACTCAAGGATCAATACGTCCCCGAGATCACCTCCATCAAATATGAGGGCAACTTCGTCGAGCCCCCTCGCCCCGTCCCCTGGTATCCCGACGAGCTCGCATGGTCCATGACCACCCCCAAGCAGGTCGTTCGTCGCTTTGCGCCCTTCGCGTCTTTCCAGAAGTTCCTCGTCGCCGAGACTGAGGTCGGCAACATCAGCAGACAGGAGGTCGTCAGCATGATCCCCCCGCTCCTCATGGATCTCAAGCCTGGAATGACGGTTCTGGACATGTGTGCTGCCCCTGGCAGCAAGTCTGCACAATTGATGGAGATGGTTCACACTGGCGAGGAGGAAGCTATGCGCCAGGTCACGCAGCAGGTTGCTGAGGGTACCGCTGGCGAGGAGCCTATCGGACCCGAGGGCCTCAACGATGATGGCAGAACCACCGGCCTGCTCATCGCCAACGACGCCGACTACAAGCGTGCTCACATGCTTATCCACCAGATGAAGCGCTTGAGTTCCCCGAACCTGATTGTCACCAACCACGACGCTACCTTGTTCCCCTCGATCAAGCTGCCCTCCGAGCCCAGCGTCAACGGCAAGCCTGGAAAGGCCCGCTACCTGAAGTTCGACCGTATCCTGGCCGACGTGCCCTGCACTGGTGATGGAACTGCCCGGAAGAACTGGGGTGTCTGGAAGGATTGGAACGCGAACAATGCTCTTGGACTGCACGCCACCCAGGTCCGCATTCTCGTCCGTGCTCTGCAGATGCTGAAGGTCGGCGGTCGGGTCGTCTACTCCACTTGCAGTATGAACCCGATCGAGAACGAGGCCGTCATTGCCAGTGCGCTCAGCCGCTGTGGCTCTGCCAACGTTCGCATCGTGGATTGCAGCAAGGAGCTTCCTGAGCTGAAGCGCGCCCCTGGACTTCGCAACTGGAAGGTCATGGACCGCGAAGGCCGTTTCTACGATAGCTGGAAGGAGGTTGAAGAGCGCAAGGAGAAGGAAGGCATCAGCGGTCTGGGCAGAATCGCTGAAGGCATGTTCCCACCTACCGAGGACCTGCCTCTTGAGAGATGTCTGCGCATCTACCCCCACATGCAGGACACCGGTGGCTTCTTCATCGTCGTCCTGGAGAAGCTGTCTGAGATCCGTGCCAAGCCCGAGGACTCCTCCAAGGTCATCCCTAAGGCCTCTGTCGCTGCCCTTGCTGAGGAGCTTGATTTCAAGCAGAAGCAAGGGAACGGACAGCCCCTGGAGAAGATTGATGCGTTGGATGACCTCGTCGCCCACGACAAGGAGGCTGACCTGGAGGCCCAGAAGAACGCGACCGTTGCTGAGGCTACACATCAGTTGCCTTACTCGGCTACCAGCGAGCCTGTTCCTGTCAAGCGTGATGCGGAAAGCATTGAGGATGAGCTCCCCGCTAAGCGGACTAAGCTTGAGAATGGCGCTGAGGTTATTATCGGCGACCGTCCTATTCACACTCCTGCACAGCCTGCCGTCACTGACATTGAGACTTCTGATGCTACTCCGGCTCCTGCTGAAACCACACAAGCCTCGACCCAGTCGAAGCCTCAGCTCCCGCAGAAGCGCAAGAACGGCCAGCCGGTGGAGGAACCATTCAAGTACTTAGATCCTAACCACGCCGAGCTTGACCCCATCTACGAATTCTACCAGATTTCCAAGCGCTTCCCCCGAGACCGTTTCATGGTCCGCAATGCCGAAGCTCTCCCCACGAGAACCATTTACTACACTAGCGCCCTGGCTCGCGACATCCTTTCCTCAAATGAGGGAGCCGGTATGAAGTTCGTGCACTGCGGTGTCAAGATGTTTGTCAAGCAGGATGTGCAGCGTGAAGGTGTCTGTCGCTGGCGTGTACAGACTGATGGCTTGAGAATGCTCGAGCCTTGGCTTGGCCCTGCTCGGGCCGTCACCCTGACCCAGAAGGAGACCCTACGTAGCCTCCTCGTGGAGATGTTCCCCAAGGTTGACCAGGACGGTTGGAAGAACCTTGGAGAGATTGGCGAGCGTGTCAGAGACATTCCCATGGGATGCAGCATCCTATACATCAGACCTACTCCGGGCCAAGAAGGATTCACGTACGTATACAAACCCTTGCTTTAAATCCACGACAAAGGCTAACACAAGACTAGTGAGAACATGGCCCTCCCCCTTTGGCGTTCCATGTACTCTGTCAACCTGATGCTTCCCAAAGAGGACCGCCGCGCGATGCTCCAGCGTCTGTTCAACGACCACACCCCGCTGGTTAACACCACACACAAGCGCTCTGGCGAGACCGGATCTTCGACCCCTGCGGTTGAGGAGGCTAGCGGAGAAGAGACCCCTGTTGACGCTCCTATGGAGACGGAAGAAGACCTTGAGAAACGTGAGAACCTTGTGTTGGGTGAGGCCGAGCAGGAACAGATGGACGCTCGGGAGACTTATACAAAGGATGGCGACGAGGAGGATCGCTTCAACACGACTGTATAATTTAAAAAATCGATTTAGGCAACATTTACTGGGCGTCGCTTAGCTCTCTGAAAATAATTGATTATTCCTTTGCTTTCCTAAAGTATTTTACAGACGATATTCACATTCATGTTCAGCAAAGAATGAGACACTGAAAAATCTTGGGGTGACGCAAACCGCAAGGTAACCAACCCGATTCCCCCAAGGTTAATCGATGCCTTCCCGAATAGTCAATGATCAGTTCGCAACCTGAAGCACTGCGCGCCCAGCCAATTGACCTTTCTTCATCTTCTCGACCCATGAGTTGAGGTCTTCGAGTCTTCCCTTGACCAAAACAGGCTATTTGCTATTAGCGCGACTGACTCGTGATTCAGATAGTAGTGATGGTGCCTTACGTGAACGACATCTCGTGCTGTGAAATCCAGAGCCTCTTCGACGTCTTTCAGCGTTCCTGTCAGGGTACCAACAATATTCAATCTCCTGAGAGACAACAACATGGGAGGAGCCCCCGCGAGCACGGTGGGATCCGCAGGCAGACCGACAGCCACCAACGTGCCATTCGGACGAAGATATGTGGGCGCTGTCGCATACACTGTCTTCGTTGCAGCTGTCACGATTACTCCATGTGCGCCGTATGTTGTGATCTTCCTGATCTCCGCAGGAATGTCTGTTGTCACTAGGAAGTCAATGAACACCTCCGCCCCAAGCTTATGGCACAACTCTCGTTTATCATCACCGCCATCGATAGCGATGACTCGCATGCCCATCGCCCGTGCATATTGAATCGCCAGATGACCTAGGCCACCGCCAGCTCCGGGGAGTACAATCCACTGGCCAGCTTTGACATTGGCCCTAGTCAAGACACACACATGCTCAGTATAGCTCGACCGCCATCAACAAGAGTAACGGTAACTTACCGCTTGCATGCAACATAGGCAGTCACTCCACCGCACATAATAGGCCCCGCCTCTTCATCCGAAACCCCGTCGGGGATTTTGGAAGTATACCGGCCATCAGCCACACAGTACTCTTGGAAGGTACCCGGGGTGGTAAACCCGCTGTTGATCTGTCTGAGGCAGTTGACCTCATCCACGCCGCTCAAACAAAACTCGCATTCGCCGCAGGTCTTCGCAATCCACTTGATGCCAGCGCGGTCCCCGATGCTCCAACGGCTCTCCATGCCTTCGCCAACCGCTACAACAACGCCGACACCTTCATGTCCTGCGACCCCCTTGCTCTGGGGCTTCATTGTCACCCCAAACCCAGCCCATTCATCCTGAAGGAGAGACTTATCAGAGCCGCAAAACCCGGTCCACGTAATGCGGACCAAGATCTCGCCTGGTCCGGGGAGATCCACATCGATGGTTTCGATACTGGTGGTGGCCGTGTCGCCTGACCCGCTACGAACAGCAGCGCGCTGTTGCTTGGGAATAGGGTTCATGCGGATAGTCATGGTGTATTTGGGGTAATCCTTGTCACAGATTCACAAGGCCGATGGTTGGGAAAGAAAAGGTTCGGCTCTTACTATGGTCAAGCGAAGGAGGAGTTGCTTCTTTATAGCTGCTTCGCCTCCTTCCCACGTGATGGGACGTCAAAGGTACATTTACAGCTGCTGCTAATGAACTCAATTCAAAGCCGACATTGCCGATGATCATGCTCATCGATTCAGGGAGATAAAGATCGGGGCTTCATACAGCTTTAGCATTGGTGGGCGTCATGATCTATCGAACTGACCGCGCGTTAGTCTCTGCAGACTAATGCTGGGAGGCACCGTTCAAGCAAGCATATCACCATGGAAAGATCGATTGCCCTCATTGAGGATATTCTTCGGCAAAAGTTTGTGAGTAGGTTCCATGTATCGAAAACATACCGAGGATGCCTAGCAACCCCGCTCCATTGCCACAGGAGGAGGGGGTCTCGCAGTCCTGTTCAGGTAGGAGATCAATGCTGCTTCTACTCCCCGTACAGTGATCGCCAATGAGAGAGGTGCCTGACTCAAAATTTGGCCTTCGAAACCGGGGTCTTCGCAGGGATTGATTGGCAAGCAATCCCTGCAGCAACCTCGGACATAGGGAGGTGCTTCCCCGCATCTTCGTGAAAGAACGTCATGCGGCGGACTGGATGTGCCAGCTGATAGAGACCTCATCCTCTTTGCCCAATGAAGTTGCAAATAGTCTGGCTAGAGAATGACTACAAGGGCCTGGAGGTAAGCTCAATAGTCGCATCGCGAGCCAACTGGCTGTCTCAAGTTTAGGATCTTGTCAAGTTGCCTTCCTGCAAGACCGACCTCGGCCAATAGAGGTCTTACTGTGGGGCCTAGAGATTGAGTGCAGACCTCGCGTCAGATTGACTTATTGGTTTGTGACTGGAGTTAGCCACTGCATAAGGTCGAGTTGTTTCCCTCGAGTGCTTACGAGAGTGCGAACTGATGCCTACTATAACTAACTTAGCTGTCATGGCGTTGATGCCATGCGGCCTCAGGCATCCAGGGCGAGGAACTGATCTGGCCGGGCTGACTAATTCTCCGCTGCCCCTCCTGAAAAAAATTGCCCCGCCACGGCGATAAGTTAGGGAGTGGAAGGCAAAGGAACGTTCCCGCCGACGCTGGCTAAAATTTCCATCTCTCTATAAACGTCCTTAGAGTAGAACTCCCCGTTTGCACTTTTTCATTTTTAAGATACCCTTGATTAATTCTCAAACAGCAAACAATCTCACAATGTCTGCAGACGACGAGCAGGTGGCTTTCCAGAAGCCTGGTGACCTCGTGGATCGCAACGAGGAAACCGGAGCGATGACGGTGGAAAGTCTTTGCATGAACTGCGAGCAGAATGTATGTCAATTCACCCACGCCTATCATTGACTCAGTAGACTGATGCGCGATTTTTCCAAGGGACGTACCACTTTCTTACTGATCCGTATCCCCTATTTCCGCGACGTCATTCTCGAGGCTTTCGAATGCGAACACTGCCATTTCAAGAACAACTCGATCAAGTCCGCCTCGCAGATCCAAGAGAAGGGATCTATCTACCATCTCGAGGTCGAGAATGAGACCGACTTGCAGCGCCAGGTGGTCCGCAGTGACGTCTCAGTCTTCAAGCTCGAGTCCCTTGGTATCGAGATGCCCAAGGGCGAGGGCCAGTTGACCACCGTCGAAGGTGTCATCCGCAAGATCTACGACAACCTGTCCAGCGAGCAGGACCTGCGCAAGGAGCAAGCTCCTGAACTTTACAACGCTCTCGTGCCCATCATCGAGAAGCTCGAGAAGATCCTCGAAGGCCAAGGCTTCCCCTTCACTATTTCCCTCGACGACCCCAGTGGTAACTCCTGGATCGCCCCCACTACCCAAGATTCCGGCCACAAGTACCGTCGCCGCGACTACCTGCGCACCCACGAGCAGAACGAGGAGCTCGGAATCAGTGGCGACCCCAATGCTGTGCAGCACCAGGGCACGGGTCAGGAGGAAGACGAGGAGATCGTTGATGGCAAGGAATACTCTATCCCCGCCGAGTGCCCCGCCTGTCTCAAGTCTTGCGAGGTCAATCTTCGCAAGGTCAACATCCCTTACTTCCGCGAGGTCCTTCTCTGGGCCACCGTTTGCGAACACTGTGGATACAAGTCCAGTGACGTGAAGACTGGTGGAGAGGTGCCCGAGAAGGGCAAGCGTATCACCCTCAGCGTCGAGAATGAAGTTGACCTCGCCCGTGACATCCTCAAGAGCGACACTTGCGCCCTTTACAGCGAAGAGCTCGAGGTTCGCGTCGAGCCCGGCACTCTCGGCGGTCGGTTCACTACCGTCGAAGGTCTCCTGACCGAGATCCGTGACCAGCTGCACGGCCAGATCTTCGACTTCGCTGACACCAGTGCTGGTGACAGTATGGCCACTGACGACAAGGCGAAGTGGGAGCGCTTCTTCAAGCGTCTCGACGCCGCCATCGCCGGCGAGCTGAAGTTCGTCATCACCCTGGAGGACCCCATGGCCAGCAGCTACGTCCAGGACCTGTGCGCCCCGGCCAAGGACGAGCAGATCACCACTGAGGATTACATTCGCACGGACGAGGAGGAGGAGGAGCTCGGACTGAAGGACATGAAGACCGAGGGCTACGAGGCTGATGCGGAGCAGAAGGAGGAGCAGGAGGAGAAGCCCGCTGAGCAGCAGTGATGAACGGACTCGATACCCTTAGACTTTTTTTTTTTCTCTTTCTTATTGATTAATGATGACATTTGTCTCGGTTTCTTCACGATGCCCATGATACATTCCAGGTGTTGTCTTTTGCCAACGTTGCAAGATATCCGAGAGTGAGCATTGTACGGTGTGGGCTATGTGGCTATGGAGCGCTTTTTTGCTAGTCTTGTTGTGCATATACAAAAGTTTGCGACGAACATAAATGAATGACCATTCTCGATATCAGCTGATTCTCTTGTGCAGTACTTGTAGGAGCAGCAGACTGGAATCTGAAGAAGGCTTGGTAGCGGAGCCTGAGCTGGGATGATGCGTCGTGATTGGTCACGTTTCTATACTTCAGCTTCTGCCGGTGCTCGAACGACCCGGCCAGACGGCATGGAAAGCCTAAGGATCGCAATGATAGGACTAAGTGTAAAGGAAACTACGATATGAACTTGGCACAGATCGTACTATTTTGTAAGGGATGCTTCAAAGTATATGTCCCACGCTCGTGGCGGTGTTCAATACTTGATGATTGTGCTCCGCATACCTTCGCCTTCCACGTATGACCCCATCCAAAATCTTGGGCTCACTCGAGGCAAGAGGTATTATGGAGTAATCCCAGGCTGCTGATTATGGTGCGATGTTATCATGTCGAGCCTCATACCTTAATGTCGTGCTGTATAGTCGAGCTGTATTCCGCGGGGGGCATGGTGGCTTGCTTGGATGGATGGTATGGGAGTAGCTGCCGCTGTTGCTGTCGGCCGTAGAGCGATGACGACCTCGGAGCCTGCAGGGTGACCGGCACAGTCGATCACTTGTTCTCAGCGAACACTGCTGCACGGTGGATGCCAGGTGCCCCAGAGCGACAAAGTCTCGAGGCCCCAATTCCTCGAAGCTAGTCTCCGACTGGCCGGAGACTCGGACTCGGCCTGAGTTATGCATATGCGTATCCAATCCCATCCCCAACAGTGTTCCTGTCCCCTTTAGCCTTCCAATCCATAGGAACCGGAAAGCCCATTCAAGCAAGCGCATCCCTTTACCTACTAGTATCCCCATACCGCGGCAAATCTTTAAAAAATACCCAAAGTCAAGTAGACACAAAAAGTCTACCCCGCAAAAGGATTAGCATGCACAGTCACCCTCTCAATGCCCACGCGTTCCCATACCCCCTCCTCCTCCTCCTGGGGGGAAGGCTGCACGACCCTCCCCTTCTTATCCACCTTAATCTTCGCCTTCTCCAACCGCCCCAGAACATCGCCTCCCTCATCCTGCGCCGTCAGATTCAACACCTTCCCGAACACCGTGCTCGCCCCGTCCAGATGCGGCGCCGCCGCCAGCGTGATGAAGAACTGACTCCCGTTGATCGTGGGGCCCGTCGCGCCCTGGGACCCCGGCGCCGTGCGGTCCTTCACGGGCCGCGACGCCATCGACAGGATCCCCCGCGTGTGGTGCTTGAGGGCCGGCAGGTGGATCTCCTGGTTCAGGGCGTAGGGGTGGTGGATCGACGTGCCGCCTTTGGGGATCGGGCCTTCGATGGGCAGCGGCGGCTTTTGGGTGTCGGGGTTGATTGGGTGGCTGGAGAGGGAGATGTCGCCGCCTTGGATCATGAAGCCCGGGATGTAGCGGTGGAATGGGGTGGTGTTGTAGGCGCCGCTGGCGCTGAGGGCGAGGAAATTCTGTTTTTGTGGGGGAGAGGTTAGCGCTGGAAGGGTTCGAGGGGTTTTTTTTTTTAAAGGGTGAGTGTGGGGTTGAGTGTAGAGGTTGAAGCTGGAGTAGACGCACCTCTGCGGTTTTGGGGACGGCTTCGCAGAAGAGTTCGACCTTTAGGTCGCCGTGGGTGGTGTGTAGCTTGCTACTGTTAGCTGGTTGCGCTGCTGGAATGAGTGTGGTGCGGAAGGAAAGGGTAGCGTACTGTGACAGACATGGTGTGATTGTTGTCTGGAGGTCAGCGGAGAGTGATTGAGAGGACCGTTATGCGGAGGAAAGACAGCTGCAGGTTTCAAGTGAAGGAAGCTCTATCGGAGGTGGTTATCGGCGCCGCGCAAATCCTCCGCCATCCGCCGGTCACATGACGGCCATGATTGTTGATTCGACGCATCCAGTTTTGTTTGTTCCATCCTCGAAACACATCACTTTGGCCAGATCGGAGACCATTGAGCCTGACTGTGAGCTGCTGGTACATACCTCTTGAATCCATATCCCAGGCCAGTCATTGGAAACCCTGCCCGCCCTTTACTAGCACGCCTCTCGACATCCACTTTCCTCATCTCTTGCGACAGACATCATGAACAACAGGCCGGTGGAGCAGGCGCTCGCAACCCTCCTGCCCACTCATGCTCAAGACCTGCCACCGGATCTCCTCAGCTTGGCTGTCTCCCTCGTCGCGCAGTCGCGCAGCCTGTCCTCGAGCCTGAAGCCTGAAGAAGAAATCGCGCGGCCCTATGCCTGTGCGGAGATCGCCTGTCGGAGGTAGCTAGCTACA